TAAGAAAGGATCTAACCTTCACAGTAAGGGGACCATATACAAATACAAAACAATAGTATGGTGAAATAATGTGTATACTGTGCCTGGGCCCTAGACTGTATATAGTCAATGGTGTCTTTCATAATAAACTAGTAATAATAATAGCAGTTAATATATGTTATTATGTGTCATCTGACAAATATCAAAACCTGTTAATTTAATTCTGTCATATTGATAGGAAGTATGGCTGTATTGTATTCTATATATTCTAGGCTCTACATTACAAAAACAAACCCCAATTTTAAGAAAATAACTTTTAAATCACTTTTCCAAGTTTTCCCACTATATTAGTTTTTTGTTTTGTCATCTACTAGCACATGTTAGCAAAAAAGTGAGAACAGGTGCCATAAGTTTAAGAAAAATATGTTAGAAATTAAAAAGAACTAAATTGTACACATTCTAACAACCACAGCTAATTTAAGCTACAAAACACTTCAGTCTAGTTGGTGGTAGGATACAGTTGTTTCAAGAAAGAATAATTTTAGAACCACTGATTCAGGATTTAAATTTTAAGCACATAGTATTCTATCAATAAGCAAAGGTTTTAGGATCCAGTTTTAGTATCATCTGTTATACCAACTATAGATTTTTATTCAGTCCTCAGCTTCACCAGACATTTATTGGCTGTCTGACATACAGAGGAAGTCTGTTAAGGTGCCTCAAAGGAACTCATGATCTGAAGAAACACTGTCCAGTGTAGGAGACATACCCTGCTAGTAGGAAGAACCAGAAAACGTGGATCTAAGGCTTAGGAGTGCCAGACAAGGAGAGGTTGGTTCAGATTCAAAATGGGGCCAGTCTGGGAGACTGTTCTTGAGGATCCAACACCTGGACTGGAACCTAAAAGGCCAACAGAGATGGCGTAGGGAAAGGTCACAGAATAAGTGAAGACTGAGAAAGGGTAAACGGAGGAAAGTGGGGAACTGGCAAACACCTGGAACACCAGGAGCACAGAATGATAGAGGGATGCAGCAGGGTGTGCACTTACAGGACAGCCACATTGTACAGTCTTGATTCTACCACACTACTGATTTTGGACTTGATCAGTATGGAAGTAGGTCAAAGGGTAGATTGAAAGTGGAGAAAAAAGTAGACAACATTCTTAGGTGATAAAAATGCCACTATTTCAATTTTCTTCCAGTTAAAAATCCCAAGGAGTAATATGTATTTAAATTTAGTAGTTAATTATGCATCTGACATACTGACTACTCTTGTCTGATAGTTACAACAATGGTCTACTTCCAAAATTGTTATACAGATTTAATGGAATTCCAATAAAAATTCCAAGAGCATATCTCACAAAATTAGAGAAAACAGTCCTAAAATTCATTTGGAACTAGAAAAGACCTAGGATAGCAAAAGCAATCCTGGACAACAAAGGCAAAGCAGGAGTCATCACACTCTCTGACTCCAAATTATACTACAAATCTACTGTAATAAAAACAGCATGGTACTGGCAAAAAAGGAGACCGGAGGATCAGTGAAACAGATCAGAAGATACAGAAACAATTCCAAACATACTCAGCTGCCTTACCTTTGACAAAGGAGCCAAACACCTTCACTGGAAAAAATATAATCTCTTTAATAAGTGTTGCTGGAAAAACTGGCTTTCCATATGCTGAAGATTAAAACTAGACCCATATCTTTCACTATGCACTAAACTAAAATTGAAATAAATCAAAGGTCTAAATATTAAAACAGAAACATTACATGTGCTGGAAGATACAATAGGCAGAACACTTGAATACACTGGTGTAAGCAAAGACTGTACGAACAAAACCCTGATTGCACAGGAACTATCACAAAGAATCAACAATTGAGATCTCCTCTTATTAAAAAGCTTTTGCACAGCAAGAGAAACCACCAACAGAGTGAAAAGACAACCCACAGTGTGGGAAAAATAATTTTGCAGCTATTCATCAGACAAAGGACTACTACCTATAATATATAAAGAATTTAAAACAATCAGACCCCCCAAATTTTAAGACCGAATCCAAAAATGGGCATCTAAAATGAATGGACACTTCTCAGATGAGGATGTTTTGACAATAGCCAAGTGAGAGCTCATAAAGTTTTTCTTTCAAGAAAAGCATTTCAATCAGTACCCTAGATTTTCTCCTTAAATGTTTCATAGCCAAGGAAAAAAACAACCAGGTCTGCATTTTAGAAACAGGGCCAAAATAAAAAAAAAAGTATTAGGGGCTGGGGATACAGCTCAGTAGCACAAGGCCCTGCCTGGCAAGCGCAAGGTCCTGAGTTCGATTCCCAGTACCAAAAAATAAATAAATAAACAAAGGAAAAGAAACAGGACCAGTGACTGGGTATTTAGCTCCGTGGTAGAGTGCTTATATGGCATACACAAGGTCCTGGGTTCAGGTCCCAAATAAGTAAATGAATAACACCAGCAGCAAAACACTCTAAAGAAATAGGACCAGGAAATGTATCTATATTGTAGAAGAAAACAGACTGACATGAAGCAGGACTGTTAGATACAACTTTAGTTCCTAGGTTGGCTGAAACAAATTATTCGGTTTGCAGTACAGCTCTCCCTCTTTCAAGCTGTGCAACTTTAGGCATGTTAATCAGTTTGTGCCTCAGTTCTTTCATCTGTAAAAAGGTTGCTATGAAAATTAACTAAATCTACTTGTGTAAAGTCTTTGAATAGTGCCTGACATGCAGTAAAGGTGCAATGTATGTGAACTGTTATTATTCAGTGGTTAGGCAATAAAAATGAAGTACCTGCCTATGACATATTACCATTTGCAAAGCTTTTTCACGTATCTGCTAGGTCATTTGAGCTCTACAGTCACTTTAGGGGAACTGTTCTAGTTACATTGTTTCTATCAAGCCACCCCAAAATTTAGAGGCAGAAAACAACCACTTTATTATGTTCACAGGTTCTGTGAGTTAGGACTTCGGAAATGGACAGCAGGAATGGATTCTTCCTGCTTTACAGTGTCAGGGTTGCTCTTGGAGATGATTTGTGAGGCTGGGGAGCCAGATCAGCTAAGAGGTGGCCCCTACCATAGCCTGTCTAGCACTTTGGTGGGATGACTGGAAGATTGTGCTTTGCTAGACTGTCACTTACTTGTTTCTCCACCATGGTGACCTCACTGTAGTCATCAGGCTTCTTACAGTATTTCTCCAACAGAAATACATGCTTTAAAGACCTAGTTCAGAAGTGCCACAGTAAGCACTCACTCTCTATGCATTATTAGTTGAAGCAGTCACAAGCCAGCCCAGGTTCAAGGCCAGCAAGTATAGACTACTCCTCTCCATGGAAGGAATTTCAAAGAACTCGGAGGCCATGCTGATATGATTCTCTAACTCTAGATGAGAGATTGTGACTCAGTAGCAGCTAAATGATTTGCCCAGCGATGGTAACTGGGATGTTTAGGAAGAAAGAGATTTAGGGGAGAATGACTGCTAACCTAATTCTTTTTATTCTAAATGTCTGCCTTTCAATTAGATTATTCAGCTTCCTTCAACTGGCATGTACTTGCCAATAGGTGAAAGTTCAAAGAAAAAAAATGTAACTGACTTTGGGTATGTTAGGTGACTTCCCTAAAAAGAAGCAGAGATGTAAAAGTATAAGGTTTGCAGGAGCTGGGAAGGGGTCAGGGTCAGGGAGCATCACAAGAAGATGATCGGTGGATGTTATAGCTTGTATCTAAATGTCATTCCAAAGCCACATGAGTGCATAGGTAGGGCTTTTGGGAGCTGGCCAGGTCTAGGGCTTGTAATAATGGGATTAAGGGTATATGGTACTTTAGTCCACTGATTGGAATTAGCATAGTTCTGGTTGTGACTGAATAGATTTACTGATGATAGAAGCCCCACCCAGGGTGTAGATGCCAGCACCTAAAAGGCTTGTAGCCTAGATGCTGGTTGCTGCTGTTGCTTCCTGCCTACCCTGCCTTGGGCTGTTTCTCCTCAGCCATGCCTCTCTGCTGTGCCATCCTGCCTTGGAGCCAGCCAACTTTGGACTGAAACCTTTATAAACTGTGAACCCAAATAAACCTTTCCTCTTTTAACTTATGAGTGTTGGGTATTTGGTCTCAATATCAAGAAAAGTAGCTAAGATAATGGGTATGAGGTACAAGTGGACAGGAGTCACTTATAATGTTTTATAGAACAGTGGGGTAACTATAAATGACAACAACTAATTGTTTATTTCAAAACAGCTAGTAGAGAGGATTTTGACACAAAGAAATGATAACTGTTAAGGTGGTGGATATAGTTATCCTGAGCTGATCATTATAAATTACACATGTAATGAAATATCACACCATACCCCATAAATATGTGTAACTATTATATGTCAATTAAAATATAATCACATGGGGCTGGGGCTTTAGCTCAGCAGTACAGCGCCTGCCTGGTACGCGCAATGTCTTGAGTTCGATTCCTGGTACCGGAAGGAAAAAAAAAAAAAAAAAAAATATATATATATATATATATATACATATATATATATAATCACATACCACAAACTGCATGAATAGTGGTTGTCCCTTTAGTTTATATTGCCTAGTGATGTCATAACCATCTTAGTTTATATAAGTACACTCTGTGATGTTCACACAAAATGAATTGCCTAACAACACATGTTTTAGAATGGGTACCTGTTTTTTTTTTTTGTTGTTTTTTTGTTTTTTTTTTTTCTTGGTTTTTCTCTGGTACCGGGAACCGAACTCACGACCTTGCGTTTGCCAGGCAGGCGCTTTTTGCCGCTGAGCTAAATCCCCAGCCCCTAGAATGGGTACCTGAAACAACACACAACTGTAGGTCTTTTAAAGTGTATGACTTGCATTTTTTAAGAGCTTACACCCACATTTCGTATTTTAGGGAGCTTCTGGGATAGATTCCTTCCTAACATTGATCAACAGCAACTTTGTAACAAAGGACAGAATCTCTGAAAATGTCCCAGTTACTTTACTATGATTTCATTTGTTCTTCAGGAAAATCTCACCTGGCCATTGTCCAGCGGGTGAATAATGAGGGAGAAGGAGATCCTTTCTATGAGGTAATGGGCATTGTCACACTAGAAGACATCATAGAGGAAATCATCAAGTCAGAGATCCTGGATGAAACTGATCTCTACAGTAAGTGCACGGCCTTGGCTGTTTTTCAGGGTCATCATGTTTTCCTCTGAGATTCTCGGGGACAGATTAGTTTGGCATAAAGTATGAAAGATGTCAGGGAAGGACCTGTACACTGATGTATGTCAGCCACCTGGTTCTGGCATGGCAAGATACCCTAGCTTGGATCACCCGGAGTCACTAGGAACCCACTCTCTAAATGTTTATAAGGAAGGAAACTTTGGGAGCTGAGCCAAGACTAGGAAAAAGAGACCACCCAGCCTTTGGATGGGAAAGGTCTAAAGAAAACACCATGCACCCTGGAGGGCAGCCGGAGGCCTCTACCCTTGTTTCTATTTCCCTTTGTTGTTCCTTTGTTGTCTCTTTTGTTTACCTAGATGCAGGCCCCGGCATCCTTGAAGTTCCACTCATGCCAGACCATTAGTGAGCAATGGAGACTGTCAAAACATTGCCCTCTTCCACCTAAACCAAAAATTTAAATGTCCTCTTTCTATAGGAGAGGGTCAGAGTTTTCCCACCCTTAAATAAATAAGCTAGCATAATTTTTAAGAGGTGTAAAGAGTGAGGAGTCAGGATACTGTGTTTCTTTTTACATGGCCCCAGCCTCTTGCATGATCTCAACTCATGGCCCTGGATCTCCCCTCTATCTGCACTTGAGGAAAAGTGTTAGAACAGCAGCCAAGCAACTATTCGTGTTCAGAATTGAAGGCAGGCCCACAGAAGAGCTGTGGGTGTTGGAAGGTCACTTTCTGTCTTCTTGAAAGAAACCCAAAGGATCGGGAAGACACAAGCTCCAACAGGAGCAGGAGCAAAAAAGGAAGCTCAGTCCTATGGACTGCTAATTTCCTGTCCTCAGGGTTCATCCCCTTTACTTCTGATTTGCACTAGAAGTATCCTGCAGCCCTGTTGCTTTCCAGACCAAGGCTGAAGAGAACTCAGATCCTTTTCCTGTTACCCTTAGCACAAGTGAGATAGGCTAGCAGTTTCTTTTTTTTTAACTTAAGGGAAGCAAAAGAAAAATAATGAAAGAAACCCCCCCCAACTGATATTTTTTTTACTTTTTAAGACAAGCTTAAATAAGCAAGGAAAAAAAATTAGAAAAAGCAAATTTTCTCATCAGTAGTCACATGACCAGTATACAGTAAGTCTCTGACTTAGGAACAGGATCTGTTCCTGGAGAATGTGTGTAAGTTGGATTCCTTTGTAAATCCATCAAAGTGAGTCATATACCTTTGACACAAACATGCAATGTAAAGCACAAGAAAACCAAACACACAAAAATGAAGTCCCTGACTGTATAGTCCTCCCTTATACTATCACACTGTACAGTGAGCACACAGTAGCAAGACTGTGTCAACGTCCGGCAGACACATGAGCTACTTCCATGGTTTGTTCACATCAAACCATTTGTATCTGTGAAAGTTCACAACTCCAGTGTTCGTAAGTCAGGGACGTACTGTATAGGATCTTAGAGTCCCAGGCCCTGCCCAAGTCCCCTGCCTAAAGAATCTGTTTTTACACATTATAGGCTCATTCTTATTTCTTCTCCTTTCTCTTTTTTCTCCTTAGTGGAGAGGTTAGGGATATCATAACTAATAAGACAATGGCATGCCTCAAATACTGCAGGGCATGGTTCAAACCAGCAGAAAGAGACCGGGTAAACCCGGTTCTGGGAAAGGAGGACAGTTGAGGAAGAATCTCCCTGGTCCCTGCCAACTCCCTTGATGCCAAGAATGCTGTCCTTCATGCTTGTATGACTTTGTATAAACACTTTCACATGTAGTGTACTGTTGGAGTCTCATAGCAGCTAGACAAGATAAGTAAAAGAGCTGTTATTAAATATTTTATCTCCTTGTACAGATTAAAGCAAACAAAAACTGATGCATAGAGAGGTTGCAAGGCTAGTACGCAGGGAGCCAGCACTAGAATGCTAAATGCTGCACTTGGAAACCCCAAGCCAACTCTTCCTTTTTCTGCTTTCCACTACCTGAGCGAATAGTGCTGAGAATATTAGAGCTGTCTTTCACCGGTTAACCCTAATCAACAGCCTTCCATTCCCTGGGAAAGAGATGTTGTAATGTCTTCTAAAGGTGGCCCTGCAGAAATGTGAGTGGTCCCAAAGGATCTGCCTGTCCTCTTTGACTCTGGGAAAATCTTCAAAGACCAACAATGATTCTGAGATAGCTGCGATCTCTCCCATTACCCTGCAGCCGACAATCGGAAAAAGCAAAGGGTCCCGCATCGAGAGAGAAAGCGGCATGACTTCTCCTTATTTAAGCTTTCCGACTCAGAGATCAAAGTGAAGATCTCACCACAGCTTCTGCTGGCCACACACCGCTTCATGGCCACAGGTAGGACCTGCCCACCCCCGCCCCCATCTCCACCCAATAGTAGTTGCAGCGGAATCTAGGACAGGGCGAGGAACCATCCAGTTTAATGCCTTCCAACCTCACTCCAGTGTGTGAGTGCTGAGAACCATTGTTCTAGGAAGAAGGTTGCCCTCCCTGGTATGACAGGATACCACACTGTGTGATGAGCCCAGGTGATCTTCTAGGCAAGGACGTGAGTATAGTACAACTCACCCTTCTCTTCTGATGAGGAAAAAAAAAAGGAAAACACTGCTACACTTCTCTTTTCCTCCACTTATTTCCTGGCTGGAGCTTGATGTCAACCCCCATCCTGGTCAAGTTGGTGTGCCCCAGAGTATTTGTCCTGGAAGGAAAAGCATTGTCCTACCCAGTAAGCCCCAGGGATCCAGTATCCCCCAAGGGCCACGAAAGCAGTGAACAACAAGTTCTTAAAAAACAGAAGTGGATGTTGAATTTTGGGGTCTTTAGAAAGAAAAGAAGATAAGAAAATCTAAAGATAAACTCTTCTTGGGAAGAAGGTAAAGTTTGTCTTTCAACTTTCTGATCTTCTCATTCATGCCTAATTAATATACTGACCTAGAAAGGTCATACCCACAACTAATTTCAATATATAATTAATCTGACTTATATTTGCGGATTAAATAATGAGGGCTTCGGGTGATAAACAGTAGAAACATTTAAGTTGGAGATTCTTAGAATGTTCAACATGCAGTCTGGTTCTAAGTACAGATTTCTTTCAACTACTGGCTAATTTCCCAGAGCAAAGCATGTATATCTGTTTAATATAATATAATAATATGCTGGGCTGGAGATTTAGCTCAGTGGCACAACACCTGCCTAGCAAGTGTGAGGTCATGAGTTCAATTCCCAGTACAAAAAAAGAGCTATAAGTACAAGGGATGATCAAAAATATACAGTAAATATTTAATTTTTTAAATTGTATTCCAGTAAAAGACACCTTGCCATTAATCTATTAATGCACTCAAAATATTCCACCTTACTTTAAACATTCCTCATTGTTCTTGACACTTTTTTTATTTTAAAGAAAAAAACAACAAAAACAATGATACAGAGTTTCAAAACAAGATAATTGGAGATTAACAAGGACACTTTCTGAAGCAGTTCTAGAAGTCTTCTTTTACTTCTTTATGAGGTGTGGTCCAAAATACAGTGGATGCTACTTCAAGTATGACTGAACAGAAAGGCAGGCTCGTATAAACATTATAATGGTTTCTCATCCACATTATTCATCAGATCTGGCATAGTGACTTCTGTTCTTGCTCACAGTCAAAGTGCAACTAAAGATATGAAGCAAAGCCTTCCAGAACTGCTCCAGACGGTAGCAAGAATGATGGGATAAGTGTGTTCAAAGTAAAACAGAATATTTCAAAGGGGATTAATGGCAGTACGTCTTTTAATGTAATTTTTGAGGTTTAAACATTCACCATATGTTAATGACACCTTATATAAATATATAGTAGTAGCTATTAATATGCAAATATGATACAAGGTTATGATACAATGATGATAATATGCAAATATGATACAATAACATTATCAAGAGCTTATCATTTAAATAATTACCTTTCCCTATTAACTTAGAATTTTACTTCATTCAACACATACATGTCACGCAAATAAGTCAGAGTAAATTTTCTGTACTTCATTATGTCATGGCAGTAAAGGCTTTGTTGTCTGCATGTCCTAATTATTCATGCTCAACTTTTAATAAAATCAAGGAGAAAATGAAAAACAAAACTGACTTTTCCAAAATGATAACCTGCTTCTCCTGAGATGTCATTGCAAGGACAAACCTCCCCAGAGGGCCTGAGGACAGCCCTGAGGCACACACATGGGTTTAGGATCCCTCGGGCCCAACGGACCCAGAAGCCTCATCAGCCTGGTACCCTGGAGCATGAAAGGGGTGCTCTAGTTACAAACCGCAGTAGCACCCATGCTGACTCTTCTCAGCTGCTGGTACTAGAGGGGGCAGGGCCAGAGGCGCTAACCACCACCCCAAACTGTCCTCTAGAAGTGGAACCCTTCAAGTCTCACTACCTTTCGGAGAAGATTCTTCTTCGGCTTCTAAAACATCCCAACGTGATCCAGGAGCTGAAGTTTGATGAGAAGAACAAGAAGGCCCCGGAACACTACCTCTACCAGCGCAACCGCCCGGTGGACTATTTTGTGCTGCTTCTACAGGTGAGCAGCAAACTCGGGGAACTTTCAAGGCCAAGACAAGGCATCTATAGAGTGAAAAGGGGATGGCTATGTCTCCTTCAGTGCTAGCAGCCCAGACTTGGCTGACTGCTTTGGGAACAAAGGAAATTAGGTGGGCATTTCTACATGACCTACAGGGGGGCCTAGGCATGGAAGACTGGCATCCTAGGACCGATGGGGTCTTTGATGGCCTTAATCTGACCACTCAGTGTTGTTTGGTGTGTGGTAACTACCTCCCTGGTTAGAGGGATTGTATCTCTGGACTTGTAGATCTGCTGTCTTGCAAATCCCAGTACCTCCGTGTCTCTGCTTGAGTAATCTTTGAAGTGAAACAGTCTCCTGTCCCCTAAATCTTAGACAATTCTTATTGAAAAATCTATCGTATGTTGAGCTGAAATCTTACCATTTTTGACTTCCAACTGATGTTTTCTTTGCTCTCTGGAAGCACATGGAACATTCGTTTTCTGTGCCACATTTCAGCCTTTGCAGTTCCTTGAATCTTCTCCCTCTTCAGAGAGTCAGGAAGGGAGAAAAGGGACGGAGTAAATGAAGCGCAGCATCTTCCAGGTATTCATATAAGCGTCTGCCCTGGGCGCCTGGACAGGCCTGTCTTAAGAAGTGTCAGTACAGTTCCACTGGAACACCAGTGCCCGAGCTGGCTCCACAATTTTCTCTGTCACTGATTCCCTGTCTTCCAGCAGAATCTTATGAACCCTAAACAGAATGATGATTCTAAGATTTTGATAAAGCTCACACTGACTTAGAAATGACTTCGCTTTTTTGCAATCCACCACAGCCTCTCTGCTATGACACTGTCATTTGCCTCATATATATTATTCCAAGTAGCCTTAATAAAATAACCAATCTTTTCCAAAACTAGAGTTACATTTCTTACTATTGGAAATTGAGATGGGTCCTGATATATCATTTATATAATATAAAGAGCATGTGTGATCCTTTGTCTGATGCTTAATAAAAATTCAAGCTTTCAAATTAAAGTGTGATAGGAATAAAACATAGTAGGTAAAGGGTAGGCTCAAAAATTGGAAACATCTGCCTTTCAATTTCCATTGTTGCCATTTCCTAGCTAACCTTGACCAAGTTAACCTCTCTGAACCTCTAAATTGATTCATCTGTAAACTAGTGATAGAAACAACATGGATCCCATGAGGTTATGGGGCTAATTGAATGAGAATCCATGCAGCGTGTGTTACGTAGAATCAGTTCCCTAGATACTCTGTACTACACTTTAGCTATCATTACCATCCATGATGAACTCCACAAGCTTCACAAAAGATTAGGTTTTATTTAAACCTGACTTAGATCTGGTCTAATCTCAGACTAAACCAGTGGGGCAGATTAGCTGGTACTTGGACTTATGTGATGGAGGGGTCAGTACTGTATGCAAGGAGAGTGTGGTTATTCATGACTGGTGCTGGGTTATAAACAATGAAGCAATGAATTTACTGCACAGAACTGCCAAAGTTGGAGGTGCTATTTCTGAAATATAAATCCGGACATAATTATCATTGCTCTGTGATACAAACATGGGCCCATGTGCCATCTCAGCAGAAGCACTTAGGGTCCTAGTGAATAATAGATTTGAAAGTGCTCAAACACACCCTCAGAACACTACTTCTTTCTCCAGGGTAAAGTGGAGGTGGAAGTGGGTAAGGAAGGCCTTCGCTTCGAGAATGGAGCCTTTACCTACTATGGTGTCCCAGCCATCATGACTACTGCTTGCTCAGGTATTCCAGTTTCCAAGCCATAGCTTGTTGGGGAAATAAAAGAACATTGTAGAAAAAGCATCTAGGCTCACGTCTGGACTTCTCTTTTGATTCCTGCTATAGACTTTGGACAAGCTATTTAACTTCCTTGGCTTTAGTCTCCTCTGCAAAATTATAAGAGTTTCTTTCATTCAGAGTTTGTACTTAAAGGAATAAGTGAGGAAAAATTCAGTTTAAAAAGGCAATCGCATTATCAAGTGTTGGGGTAGAGTATATATTTGCTCAATGTGAAAAGATAAGTCTATTTTGCTTTTTACACTTTTTCCCCACCCCTCCATTTGTTTTCACAGGGTTCGTTGGTGCTGGGGGTGGAGTGGAAGTGGGGATTCCCATAAGCAGGTGTGTTTTCTGAATTGCCTCTGAAACCCACTGCATCCTTCTGTCCTTAGATAATGACGTGCGGAAGGTTGGAAGTCTGGCTGGATCCTCCGTCTTTCGTATGTATCTCTCAAACCTCTTCCTTGTCCTCCCCATCGTGGTCTTGCCTCGGCCCACTCTGGGGACCTGGACCAAGCACTCTGAGCCCGGGCCGGGCTAACACAAATGCTGGCAGCCTCTTTGTAATATTCTGCCAGGGACACTGCTTCCTGCCAGGTACCCACAGACCACAGGGGCTTAGGTTCTACATGTTTGGAATGCTTTCTGTGGCTTCTTTGCTCATGCACAGCTGATGAATGGTGGTGGCGGGGGTAGACTTGTGAAGAGAGGTACCGTTAATTGGCACCTGCCAGGCAGTGCAGGCAGGTAATTTGTGTGCTTGGTGGAGGATCAGCCTTTCATTCTCTGCAATGTTAATTCACCTCTGGCCTTCCCTTGAAAACTCTCGTGTGCTGTTACTGTGTCTGTGGCATTTGTCCTCAGTAAGACATGACTGTGAGATTTGGAGATAATATAAATCTCAGGCTGGTGCAGTCTGTTGCTTATCTGCTTCTCTTTCTTTGCTTACCACCTCTCAGCTGGTGAAAAGGTGGCTGCCAGCTGGCCGTGCATGCTGCCAGTGGGGGCGGGCACAGGGGTGATGGCTGGTTTGCACTCCCCTTCTGTGCTGCGCTTTCTTGTTGCTTCCTGTGTAGGGTCGTTGCACTTATGTTTAGAAGGCATGGCATTTATTGTGTGATCAGAAAGAATTCTATCTCTAGATTTCCTTTTGATTCACTGGTCTGAATTTTGCATTATTTTCAGCTCTTAGTCACTTTAATGCCAAATAGGGATCTTTCCTCTCATCATGAAGATCTTTGTATAATGCTTTATATTGGGATTTATCAGAGGGTCCCAGTGCTTGATATGACAGCCTCTAAAACATAGAGAAGTAGGGGGCTGGGGATTTAGCTCAGTGGTACAGCACCTGCCTGGCAAGCGCAAGGTCATGAGTTCGATTCCAGGTACCAGGAAAAAAAAAAAAAAAAAAAGGAAATACCTCCCTAGATACCATTTTAGGGCAAAGGAAACTAAAGAAATTATTTGCTCCAGATCACCCATCAAGTTGGTGACGTATCTAAATGCATTCTGGTGTCCTGACTAGTTCATAGAGCACAATGAAATACAGATTTTAAATCCATTATGTTCCAGAATGCAATAGCTATATGGAAATAGTAGTGCAGTTTACCCTGTAATTTTACCTCCTAGCCCTTCACGTGGCTGAAATGAGATCTAAGTACTTTTCCCACTCCTAAGGGGTTGCAGAAGTAGAGATCCAAAAAGTGAAAAACCATGGTACATTGTGATACTTATGTAAGCCAACAAATCTCAATCAAGGTTGATAAAGGAAATTTCAGTTCTCAGTATATCTGTGCTGGGTGGGTGCAGAGCAGATTACAGGACTAGATAAACTTTTATTCTCAAAATGAGACTTCCATGATCTATCACCTTAAAGACTGCTGTGGGACTGCTGTTTTACCTAGAAGTGCTGGCCCTGTTCTGGCTCTTCCAAAAGAAGAAAGAGATGGGAACTCTAACAAAAAAAAGAGCTGCATGAGGCTCCTTAGCTTACCCAATTTAGATGACTTTCTTCTTTAAAAAAAAAAAAA